GGGGGTGCCCGGGCCCGCCACCCCCGCGCAGGAGGACCCCCCGCAGCCCCTCCAACACCTCCACCGCGTCCCTGCGGTAGAAAATATCGCGGACCGTCACGCCCCGCAGGCGCAGGTGGTGCAGCAGGCAGCGCAGCCCGCGGTAGGGCCGCCACGGGCCGCACGACCGCCCGTCGTAGCCGCAGAGCCAAAGCCGGAGGCCGTCCCCGAGGCCCGCGCAGGAGTGGGCGAGGCAGCACAGGGCGTCGTCGCGGATGCCGACCGGGAGGAAGATGTCCTTCCGGCCCATGTGGAGGCAGCGGTACGGGGGGTCGTCGGCGGCGTCACGGAAGGGGAGGTGGCCCATGCAGGAATTCGAATAACAGCACGACTCCCACACGCGACGGGGTAGGAAGGCGCGGAGGATCGGCATCGCGGCGTCGAGGCCCCTGCCAGGGCCGGCCCACCCACAGGGGTCGCCCTCGCGGTTCCGCTGCCAGTCCGTCCAGAGCTTTTGCCAGAGGGTGTACTTGTAGGCCGCGTCGTGCGTTAGCAGGGTCGGGGGCACACGGTGGGATTCATTGCGATCCATCCTGGCAATCCCACGGTGACCTTCCACAACACAGCAACAAAGAGCTATCACTAATGACTAGAAAAGAAAAGAAGGTTAACACGATGAACCCAAGGGCTTGGCCTTCTTGTTCGTGCCACACTCTTATCTCTTTTTTAGGATCGGAAGAATTTTATGGGCGTTTAGCTGCCTCACTATTCCCACAGTGTTTTAAGGCGCGGAACAGTGATACTTAACCCGACGTAAAAACTCAAAGAGATTTGAGGCTAGGCTTGAGTTGCGCTCAAATAAATGATTTCAGATGTAACGCTAGGCAAATAAAATAAGAAAATATTAAATGGAAACAATTATGGAAATTTTGCTTTCAAAGATCCTTTAGTGCTGTGTTCATTGGTGCAATACCTAACATAATCAGCTCTTTAATGTTGTAAATTGATAAGAGAAAAAGCTGTTAACGAAATATCTATATTTATATAGATATTGACAAGGTTGTATGGTTATGTTTCTATGTAAATTCACAAATATCTCTTTCTAAGATTTCCTGTAGCTCATTCAAACTCACCTTCTCTGCTATGTTGTTCATAACATCATTTCGAAGTTCACGAAATTGAATATTCACCTCTTCGGTAATGAGCTGATGAAGTTCACCTACTTTTGCGTTCATTGCCTCTCGATCCACCTTAGATGCCACCAAGTTCACAAGAGACTTCTGAAGGGCTTCTAATCTATCCTCCAGGAGTACCTTAGTGCAAAACGCGGCATTTAAACGCTCTTCTAACAAAGTTGCCTCGCGACCTAGCAATTCTAATAGCACTTCCTCCTTCTGCGAATAAGCCTCTTCAGTGGTCACAGAGGAAGAGGATGATGGCAAAACCGGCAGCCCCGTCAATACCAAAGGCTGAACATCCCCCTCCAACTGCGGGGTATCCACCCCTAAATGCGTCAAATCACGCGCAGTCCGATCATCCAGTTGAGGTGGGGTCGCCTTCGGGGATTTTCGCCTCCCCTCTTCCAGCTCATTCTGAAAACTGAGCAGAATCTCGCGCAGGGAATAAAGGTCCTTCGCGAGTTGTTGGTGATCACGCGAAAGATCCGTCAGCGCAGACTCGACCGTCCCCAGGCGTCCCTGATGGTCGTTCGCGCTGGCGACGTCCTCGGAAGCTTTGATGTCGACGCGGTCTTTCAGACAGACCAAAGCGCGATGAACCCTTTCCACCGTACTTTCCAAATCCCTCACTCGCGCTGCGTGCGTTTGGCTGATGAGATCGCACTGTGTTTCGATGCTTTCGCGAAGATCCGCCCCAAATTTACTCGAAAGATTTAGCAGGTTGGCCTGCACGCAAGTCTCCACCACCTTTTCAATCTCGCTATGATCTTGGATAGGATGTGGCAAGGTGGCGATGGACCAACACGGCGGGGCCTCCGCGTGGTGGGGCGACGTCATCGCGCTCCCGGAGAGCTCCAAATCGGGCAAACGCAGGGTCTGAAGGGCCTTCCACAAGCTTTGAATCTCCCGCGTGATGGACTCGAGCGCGAGCGCATAGCCGTCGGGGGTCTTTCCCCGCTTTTCCATCTCGCCCCCAACGTTGGAGGTGTCGGGGGCAGCCACTGTCGCCGGCCCCGTCCTCCCCCCCGCCTCGCCGCCGCGCCGGATGAGCCCATCCAACGCGTCCAGGCGCGAAGTGAGGGCTTTTTGCTGGGAAAATAACTCCTCGCCGACGCGGCTCTGCCAATGCGCGAGAAACGCCTCGAGATTTGTCGAAAAGGGAAGCAAAGCGGCCTCCATCGCGGCGGCAGGGGCCATCCGAGCCGGGTCGGCGGTCGCGATTTTCGCGGAGAGCTCGGCAAACCGCGCCTCGGTGGCGGTTTGGACCCGCGCGAGGGTATTCCCGGACTCCACAAGGCCCTCCAGCGCGCGCGTTAAATCGTGGCCGAGGCGGCTGGTGAGATGCGCCGACTCCTGCAGTTGATCGCCCAGGTCCTGGACCTCCGCCTGGAGGGCCGCGCATCGCTTCTCCGCGGACCCGACCCGACGGGAAAGATCCTCGACCCGCCGATGGTCCTCCTCGCGGGACTCCGCTCGCCATCGCGGGGCGACGTCGGCGGGCGGGTCGGCCTCCAGGAGGGCCATCCGGCGTTTCAGGGCCTCCATCTCCACCAAGGCCGGGGAAAGCTCCTTTAACGCGTCCGCCTGCCAGGGCTGCCAGGCGGCGGGGGGCGGCGGCGGGGATGCCGCGCGGATCGCCCCCTCGAGGTGGTCGATTCGCCGCCCCGCGGCCTGGAGCTGGCGGGCGAACTCCGCCTCACTCGCGCGGCGCGCATCCCCCTCACGGTGGAGTTCGTTGGCGGTCTCGCGGAGGGCCGTGCGGAGATTCTCCCCGACGGCCTGTCGTTTGTCCTTTTCCGAGC